TAAAGTAAACTAACCAGTTGCAGCTCTAAGACCAGTCAGTCCCTGAAGTATCACACACCAAGTGCCGACCATTTTCATTAGATCTTAAGGGAGGAGAGAGGACTTTACTGCAATCAGCAGATGAGAACACAGACAAACAGAGAGCAGATGAAAAGGCGCAGAGAAATAAAACAGTCTAGTCCATGTCCTGAAGGTGTCAACTGGCCCAGCAGGTGAAGAGAGATCTACAGGTGTGCTGAAGTACAACAGGTGAGGACAAGGACTGATCACAGGTAAGAGAGTCGGGGGACACAGAGAGAATAAAAAAGCTCTGGCTCAGGAAATTTTTATGTTAGAGATAAAAGTTGAGCTGGCTTTGCCCCAGCTGTATTCTCTTCCAAAATGGTGCCGGAGACTTCAGTAGGAAAACAACTGAATTTTCATCATGGACCCAGCTCTTTCCAAAGGATGTTCAGCTCTGTGGCTCCAGTAGCTTTCTCCAAAGCCCCTAACTAAGCCTATTGTGCCTAGCATCCAGTGCTTAGGACCCATTTCTTGGTTTCATGAGCAACCATGGGTGAGTACACACTCCTCTATGTTCCTTCTTCTTGGTGACCTGATCTACTTTCCCCAGAGGCTTCAGGGGTCAAAGGGAGGAAAGAGGGGGCAACTGAACTTCGAATACCTTTGTGGGCAACAAAGTACAGAAATAGTGAGACAGGGCCCTAGTCTTTGCTGAAACTCTATGTGATGGAGAGAAGAGTCAGCTTGTTCTAAACCAGGCAGACTAGAGATGTCCTGGACAGGGAGATACAGCAGCACACTGCAAGGGAAGGAGGAAGGGGCAATCTGAGATTTGAGGGACTACTTTCAAGAATGAGATTGTGAAGATGAAGGGATCTGCTTGGAACCAGTACATGATCAGAAGTGTGACTTAGTCCCTCCCAAGTTACCCAGGCTTGAAACTTTGGTGTTACTCTCAAACACATTTCCCTTTCTTACATAACACTTATCAACCCACTCCAAATGAATTGACATTTTTTTATGATCCCTCTTAGAAGGCATCACCCTCCCTGTGGAGTTGGGGGAAATGGGATGGGAGGGGGGGTCGAGGGGCATGGGAGGGAGGGAGAACTGGGATCGATATGTAAAATAAGAAAAAATAATAAATATATAAAAATATTAATTTGTATAATTATAAAAAAAGAAAATGCAGTCAAATGTCATAAAGGAGTGAAAATAAACATGTGACCCAAGGGTGGGAGGTAACAGAGGATAGAACATATCCTTAGGGTGCTGTGTCAGAACCTCCTGAACAGGGACATTTAAGCTAGGACATTAACATTGCAAAAGCAGGGAAGGTAAGGAAAAAAGACAAAGGCATCCATGGGCTGAGGGCAAGGTAAGTGTCAAGAACTCTAGGAAGAACAGGCTTAGACACAGCAGGGAGCGGGGGCAAGCTTAGCTGAGAGTACTGAGCTTTCTATCAGGTCCAAGTAAACAGCAACTCTAGAGTTGTGCTTCATGGTGGCCCTGGCAGGAGGATTCAGGACCTTCACAGATCTGATGAGGAGTTGTGGTGTGACCAGTTCAGTTGTTATAAAAGCAGAGTGTTAGACAAGAAATTTGAGGCTTGAAAACGGCCTGGACTTTCATCATGGGACATGATTTAGGAAACTGAGGAGATGGCATTTTGGGGCCCCTCTACTTGGAGACCTAGGAAGCTTCATATTCAAGTTTTCCTAGAAAGCTCTGATATTAAACAAATCTGAGGAAAGTAAGATGTTTACATTCCCAAAATTAGGTCAATACTTCAAGGAAGGTCACACCCAGATGAAAAAAGTTAACAGGAATTTTGAGTTGTTGTAGCAATAACTGAATTAGCCAGACACAGAATATTTACATGCTTAGCCCTAGGAAAACAGCAGAAAGTCATGCTGACAAGAAGCATTCTTTCGCTATATTTTGTATTTTGTTGTTGTTGTAGTAGTTGTTGTTGTTGGTGGTGGTGGTGGTGGTGGTGTGTGTGTGTGTGTGTGTGTGTGTGTGTGTGCGCGCGCGCGCGCATATTATTTCTAGAGACAGAGTTTCACTGTGTTGTGTACAGGTCTGTCCTGGATCTCACTGTACATTAGGTTGGCCTCAAACTCACAGAGATCCACCTGCCTCTGCCTCTCAAATACTGGGATTAAAGGGGTGTGCCATCACTGCCCAGTGACATACTTAGAAGATAAAGCATAGTTCAACATTCCCAGGGGAGGAAGCCAGGCAAAGTGGTGATTTTCTATGTAAATGCTACAATAGAAGCTATGATAGCCATGGTGACAAGGAGGGTACCCTGAATACTTCTGTGCAGAGCCTAGCAGCTGCCCTGGAAACCATGGGACAAGAGACAGCAGTGGCAGGATGAAAGAGCAAAACAGTGCAAAAGCAAAAGATGTAAGGGGGATGAAGGCAGGAGAGGTAAAAACAGGAAGGGAAGAAGGTTCTGAACCATCTTAGTAGAACCCACCCCTATCCCTATAACCATGGCACTTAAACAGAATGTTACAAATGGTTTAGAAGGCTGTGGGTGTAGCTCAGTGAAAAGGCAATGCCTAGGATTTCCAAGCCCCTACATTTGGTTCTTAGAGTCATAAGAAAATACCAATCTTTTGAATGAAGGAAATGTCATTTATTTTTCCATTTTTCAGCAAAAAGTATGTATGTGCGTGTGTACTGCAGAGTACGTCCTTCAAGCATATACAGACATCATCTTCAGCAGAGTAGATATGACTACTTGCAAAAGACCCCTGAAATGCAGCTTGTTAACTGCTGGGGTTCCCTCATAGGAGAAGACAAAGAGGGTCACTGGATCCTTACCTGAGATTCCTGCTCCTCCCCCTGCAACTTCTGCCATTTATATGCCATTCTAACCTAATTTCATGTGCCCTCACCGTCCTAGGAACTATTAGAGAATTTAGCCTGTGGCAGATTAATTGAGACAATGGTGGTGGGTGGGGGGAGCGCCCTCTACATAGTTATGGGAAGTCACTGTCCATGCTAAAGTGAGACTTTTTGTTGGTGTGGCTGTGTTGAGGTCACCTACACTCCTGCAGGTAACCCAATAAGCTCATTGGTTCCTTAGGTTAGACACTGATGGAATTATACTTGGTTTGGTGGTGGTGATCTATGAAGAAAGAGTTGGTTTACAACTCCCCAAGAAAGGTCCCCACAGCAAGCATACCCATACCCACACAAACACACGCTCTCCTGTGTGTGTATATCACATTTTAAAAAAATAATCGCTAATAAATTTGAGGATCAGTGTATGATGCACTGCTAGACAAAGATGCATTTCCAGGAAGAACACGAGGAATTAGGTCAGCAGTAATTTAGGTATGAATGTTTTAAGTGCATAACAATGCAAATTGTTAATAGTGGGTCAAATACAGCTGAAAAGTATTTTGATTGCTAATGGTAGTTCAGTTGTTACTGAACCCAATTTTCACTGTTTCAAAGATAATTTAATTGCATATCTTCAAACTTAAAATAATCTGACTATAAAATGCACTTCACAGGGATTAGTTCTTTGTTGTTCTTTTTTAATTTCTTCTACTGAGTTTCCATAAATCTATTTTGATGCTCACAATGGGTTCTCTCTTTTAAATACATTTTTATACAGTCTATCTAAATATTTTTATGATAAACACTGATAATTACAGAGACATCATTGCTAGTAGTTTGTTAGTTATAGGGCAGGTTGCACAAATCAAATCTATTAGGAACACGTTTATCACTGTGTATCTGAAGGAAAGACAGGAGCAATTGAGTAAGTAGTGACCAACAGGAAAAGCTCCAGGTCTTGGGGGCACTAAAAAGATCTCATTATAAGTCTATTCCACTGTGTGAACTCCTAATGATATCAACTCCAGTTATCTAAAGAGAAATCCTTGTGATAAAGTCTGAGGATTTCTTGTAAATCAAAAGGCAAACAGCAACTTCCTTAAGAAGGACTATTCTAAGCTTTGGTTTTTGATACAGAACTAGAAATAATGCTAAAATAAATTTCTGGGAAAAAAAAAATCACACCATAAACTGTCATATCCTATCACACTTAATGTGAATGAGTGCAGTCTCTAGGATAAACTTCATTCCTGTTTCTAGAGAACAGAAAGAGCTTTTTAAAAAACATCCCAAACTATGTTCATATTTTCAAAATAATAATTGCATATGCTATTCCCCTAGCTACCACTCAAGCAAATATTTTAATTTTAAAAACAGGCTGATTCCCATGTCTTCATTTCTAAAATCTCTTATAAAAAAATCAGGTTTATAACCAGTGGTCAGAATTGGTTTCCTTTGCACAACCTTGGCATTTTGGAAGAGGCATGCCTCAACCTCAGCATCTTGGAATAGTTATGGTTCAGTGATATTTGTGTGAAAATATTGATGTGGAAGACAAAATGTCAATATCATCAGTGCAAATCTATGCAAGTATGTGCTACCATTTTGTTCTCAAAACCACTCCTAAGTTAGGATTTCTATTGTCCTTCTATTACAGAAGCCAAAATGACACTTATGGAGGCTATGTAATTTTTCAATGCCACAAACGCCATGTATGTAAATAAAGCAGTTCTTTACATCCCAGATTTTTAGTCAGTATACCCTTATTCATCCACTACTTAAGAACACACAACATTCAGCAATAGAAACCCCACTCCTAGCCATCTGCAATTAATGTCTAGATCCTGACTTGGATACATAGTAATGTACACCTCCTTACTAAAAAATTAAAATCCACATGTCAGAACTGTAAACTATACGAAAATAAAAATACATGATGTGGGAGCAACTTTAATCACTACTTTTATGGATTCCATAGAAACTAAGCAAAGCTCTAGAACTAAGACCAGCAAAGAGCCAGAATTTCACCATTTTCATGTTTCTGAGACTGAGCTAGCAGTACCATCACTGGCAAGAAAGGAGGATAGGGTGGTTCTTGCCTTGTTTTCATAAAGGAAGTGGCATTCATTACTGACCGAGCTGATGGCGTTGGCTCTGTCACTTGTCGCTGCACACGGATGGTATGGGCACAGTTCTCTTGGTCACCCGGCTGGGTGGAAAGTGGAATGTCAGGGGAAGTGTGGCTGATCTTCATGGAGGAGTCAGGGCAGGGTGTGGGTGGGTCTAGGAAGTCCTCGCTGTTCTCCTGCTCATTGGTCTCTGTGTCTGTGTAGTTAAGAGGCTCTTGGTTGTTGTCTTTGCTACCAGAGAACAGGCCTCGCTCGCGCCATGGAACCCAGCACAGTTTCCAAGACACGAAGAGAGAGACACCAAAGAGGGCAAGACCACAGGCGGTAACCACAAGGGTTAGCAGGCTCACTGAGATATCTGCAAAGAAGAAAAAGAAAGTCAGTGCAATGATGTCTCTCATGGCTGCCTACTATGCTATCCAGACAGACTCTGAGGGCCAGGATGGGAGATGCAGCAGTTTTTACCTGACAATGAGGATTCAGACACAAACCAGAGGCTCCAAGAGAACCATTGCATGCAAATTTTGTTTAGAAACAACAAAACACGGTACATTTGAGGAGACTCTTAATGTTCCTGCAAGTTGAATGAGACATCTATCGTTAAAGTTTTCTGAGCATGGAACTTTTAACTGTCTTTCAAATTTACACTGTCATTTCAAAGAGCCATACAATTTAGAAATTAAACCACATTTTTCTTTCTATTAAGTTCTTAAGGGTCTGAGCTTAAATGGTTAGTGTGCTTTGTAGCATCAAGAATATCTCGATGTCTTCAGAACCCAGCGTGTAACAGCTTGAGTTTCCCCAGTAATAAGCCCTGGGGTTTCTATTCAAGAGCAAGAGGTTTTCTTAGAAGGGGAAAAAACAAAGACAGGCAAAGCTGGAGGTGTAGTATATTGTGCATCGTCAAGCCAGTTAATAGAGTAGGGGTTCCAGGTTAAGCTGCTGGAGGAGTTCCATGCACCTCAGAGCTATCCCATCCAAGAAGTGAAGGCCCTGGGCTCCTCCACCCACTACTTTCAGTCACTGACTTGGGGGAGGTTCTAAAGAACATTTCATATCAGCACTTCAACATACAGCCTAGGGAGAGGATGAGCTTCAATGGCTAGAGGAAAATCCCACACTAAAGCCAATGTTGAACCAACAGAGGAGGTCTGCAGGCATGCTCGAAGGGGCAAGGACAAGAGTAAAAGGATACAATTGGGAATGATAATGACTGTTTATGGACCATGGTCCCATGGCTACACAATATTCTACAGCTATTTTCATACTTTTCAAGATAGAATCTAGTCTGTCCCAGGTTCCTATCTCAAGGTAGGGTCAGAGAGACTGCAGCAGGAATTTGATCTCATCTCTGACACTACTGCTCCCCCTAGAGCATTCTGAATGTCTGTCATGTGAGAGACACAGTAGGATGATAGACTTCACATCTTCATAGGTTCATATTCTGGAGAAATTAAAAACATTAATGTCCATAAGTATTCTATGGTTTCTGACAAGTCATATTCCTGTGAAATCATATAGGATACACTATTCACTCACTGAATAAAGCTGACCAACTACTAGCCATGCTTTTCACTATGACTTTGATTGTTCTTAGGAAATGATATTCATTTTGTTATGAAAATTGCTCTTGAAAGGAGCCAGTTTCCAGGCTGCTGATGGACCAAATGGATACCCCCATGCCTCCCAATCAATCTTTGTTGTGGTATGACAATATTACATTTCTGCTTGTAACACAGGGGTTCCTATTTCAGTTCATCAACTGAGCTCAGAAATCTCACTGAAACCAGATATGCAATTTCCTAAAAGGAATAGCATCACCACCAAGTAAGTAATATGAAGGAATTTCTGGAATGGTAGAAAAAATCCAATCAGTACCGAACACTAAAGGCTAACTAGTGAAGGGACACTAAGCAAACCAAAATAGAAAAATCCCACGCACAGGGCTGGGAATGTAGCTTAGATGGCGGAATGCTTGCCTAGTATGCACATGGTCCAGAGATAGACCCCTGTACTACATAGATCAAGTGTAGTGGCACATGTCTGCAATCCCAAAACTGGGGAGGTAGAGGCAGGAGGATCAGGACTACAATTTCATCCCTGGTATAATAGTTAATTCAAGAATGGTTTGGAATGCCCAAAACCTTATCTCTCTCTCTCTCTCTCTGTCTCTCTCTCTCTCTTCCCCCCCCCACACAAATTACAAATTCCCAGGTAGAGAGTGGGGTGAGTGAGTAGGTCATACAGTTGATGGAGGCAATGTAAAGGCATTATCATATTGCTTCATAGATCCCCAACATGGTAGGGGCAATGAAGAACAAGGTGTGACCTCGGGCTCCACTTGGCTGACACATCTCACATAGTGAAGTCTTTTTTGATGCAGACTTCTACATCTGGCTGGGCATAGCAAACATCAATCCCCAGCCCCCATAGTAGAATATGAGCTTAGACCAGGCTACATATTGTAGTGGAAACCCTTGACACAATCTGTACTCCACATGATGCAGGCAAAACTTCTTCATTAACTACTGTAGCTTTGTTTTGACAAACTGCAAGGAAAGCAGCTGCAAAGGCTGGAGGAGGACGGTAGGAGACAGTGGGGTTAGGACTGTGAGGTGGTCACTGTGAATTATTTACTGAGTACTCTCCCATGTCAGAACACTCTCCTGCATGGAGCAAGTTTAAATCAGAATTCTCTGTGTTGGTCTATGATACTGGCTTGTTCTGTTGATGGAAGATGACCCAATACAGATCATCAACCTCAGACTGAGGTACTTTTGAGCTCTGACCTAGTGTGTAAGAGTAAGAGTACTCTAATCATGGCTTACTTTCAAGCCTTTGCACCCTAAAAAATTATTTATGGCACAAGCCCCAAGTCTAGAATGACGGATAAAGTTAGCGCAGACTCACAGCCTGTGACACAGTTGCAAGTGAGGCACAGATCCATGAGTAAAACCTAAAGAGTTGGCATTTTGAGTCTCTATGACTTTAAAAAGATTTATTTGTCATGGCAAAAAAAAGTTGCCTAATATATATGACCATATAAATTACTGTCCAAAGCTGAGATGCCTTAAAGAAAAACAAAGGGTTACATTATAATAAATAAATGGGATTATCCAGGGTAAACTAATACATGTGGCATGTGGTTATCTGGATTTACTTAATGTGGTGTGAGAGAAATGGCTTAACAATTAAGAATTCTTGCCATGCAGTCCTGAGGACAAGATTTTGGATCTCAATATAAATGTAAAATCCAGGCCTTCCATTCACACCTATGTTGCAGCTCTGAGGGAGTAGAAATGGGAGTATCACTGGGGCTTCCTGTCTTGCTGAGAAAACATGATGCCCAGGTTTGAGGAGAGACTGCCACAAAGGAATAGACAGAAAAAGGGAGAAGACATGATGCTTTATGATCTCTGCACATATGAACAGGTACACATATAAATTCATAGACACACACACAAATATAAAGATTTAAAAATGAATTCAACATGCTGGGTCAGGTATAGTGATTCATGCATCTACTTTCTGCACTCAAGAGGTAGAAGTTAAGAAAAACATCATGGTTACAGACCAGCGTGGTCTACATGGCAGGTTTTAGGGCAGCCAGGGCTACATAGTAAGATGCTATCTAAAAATAATAAATAGATAATTACATCCCACATGAGAACTGAGCTCATTTGGCTTAGGACACTACCTCTCAGGATTCTACTGGCCATGCATAACATGTCAAATACATGAAGCCTGACCCACTTTTACTTGTAGTCATCGGGCCTCTGATCTAGTTCATAACAATTCTAGCTTGCTAAATGACTTCTAGACTATATATTTCAAAAAAAAAAAAAAAAAAACCAGCTTGCTCTTAAGTTCAGTCATGGGGCAAGGGACATGAAAGGAGAGAGCTTTTCTACTTAAATACTGGATGCCATGCATTTCAATGAATTCCTGGCATGAGTGTGGTATTTGTTAATAGAGAAGCTCATCTGAGGAGCTCTGTAGACACTTGTGTCAACCTTGAATTATGGAAGGGCAGGCTGTGGTCTTTTAACTCTGAGATTGCTAGAATCTTATGGATTCAAGGTCTTATAGGTTTTTGTACACATAGTCACTAACAACAAGAGTAAAAATTTCATATTTACACAAAGACACCAGGTGAGTTTCAGTGCTTCAGAACACCTGCCAAAATGCCAGAAAGTAACAGTAGCCTATGTGACCTCACCAGCCTCCAGTGTAATCATACAATTGTCTGTTACCTATAGCTCAACTTGTCCTCTAGACACTGTGTTTATACTTTTCTCTCTTGCCACAAAGAAGAATGAATCACTAAGCCCACTCCCATCTCCTTAAAATTTGACCTCAGCAAAGAGGTATGGGGAAGCTATCCTATAATCACAGAATATTTTTAAAGACATAATTTATTGTATAAAGTTATGTAATAAGTATGTGGTCATTTGCTTTACAAGTTGTAAATCACACACATATGTATATATACACACACACACACACACACACACAGTCATTGGCACTTATGGAATATTTTAAAGATGGAGAAGAATAATGATAAAATATACTGAGGTATATTTCCTAAGGGATAGGAGGAGTATAATAGTCTTTTTTTCCATAAGTAAAAAAAAAAAAAAAATCTGATCGTGATTAGGGACTTAGAAGGTTCCTGAAGGCTGGCATGATACAGGCATGGGACTGTTTATGAAAGTGTAGCAAGAGCTATGTGGCTCTTTCTCAAGGGTGGGGCACAATGTCCTGCAACTAGTCTTAACCATTGCACTTGATGTACTGTAATGGTCTGTCCCTCCTTACTAGAAACAATATTGTAGTATAGCTTATATCTTGATCCCCAAGAAGGACATGGGGGGATGTCATAAGTCATTTGAAAACCAAAGGTTGCCCCTCTGTAACACCCCTCCTCCAATAATGCTATGCCTCCTAATCCTTCCCCAACAGTTCCACCAATGGGGAACCAATAGTCACATAAATGAGCCTATGGGGGCTATTCTCATTCCAACCATCATAGGCTAGAAGGAACAATGAATGAAACCAAACAGGAAGATCAGCAGCTCAAAGGACACCAGCCAAGCTGAGGCATCAGAAGAAATGGCCTGAGACATAAACCAAGTAGAAGCAAGTGACAATATAATTCTATATAAATCTCAATAGGAGTGCAGATTAAAGAGCATGGATGCAGCAGTAACCAACAAAGACAACCCTGGAGATTCCATCTGACCTGGGAATAAAATAAGACAACTTCTCAAATAGAAAAGCAGTGCATCAATGGTACAGCTAAGGAACTTGACTCAAGGTAAACTTAATCAGCAAGAACAAAACCCCCATCTAAGAAAT